TTTCCTGCACCCTCCCTGCAGCCCTGCATAAGCAGTCCTGCCCCAGCCCCGGAAATTATTTACACAGTAATTGACTGCTTTTTCTCAATGAGTTGTTGGATGTGGGTTTCTAGCACTCTGCTTGAATGTTTTTGCACAAGGAGGAGCCCACAGTGACAGGAAACTGCAGCCCCCACGATGAATGAGACCGCGCACAGCGACTTACATGCAGGAACTGAACAAAGAGGCTCCCCTCATGGCGCTTGCATTGCTTTGGATCTGCAGTGTTGCATGTTCTCCTTTTACAAGAAACCAAACTTTTGGAAACACCCAGTGTTGGGGTGGGATGGGTTTTTTTGTATTTTTTTGTTTGTTTGTTTGTTTTTTGTTTGTTTGTTTGTTTTAGGAAAAGAAGCAGGATCTGCAAGAAAAGGTTTCTTGCAATTGTCTAAAGCATACACATAATTGAGTGTAAGCCTTTCTGCCGGACAGCTTATACTGCACAACAGGGCCAGGACCTGAAAGTTATAAGGTTTTTATTAAAATCTGGAAAAGAAGAAGAATATATTGGTCAGTGCCAGTGACAAGAGGCTCTGAAAAGGCCAAGGAACATTTCCCAACGCCTGTCAGAGGATGCAGAGGCCATTCTGGGTGGCTCTCATGGCCTTGGTGGTCTGCAAGATGAGAAGACTGGCCTGGCAGATGGGCCACCGGCCAGCGACCCAGCCCACCCGGAGGAGGCTGACCAGGATGCGGAGAACCCGCCGAGGAGTCCCACAGTGGAGAAACCACGTTGCCTCTGCCTGACCCTGGCTTCACACAGCAGAGCAGGACCATCTTTGGTTTTCCCGGTGTCACTCCAGGCTGGCCCATGTGGAAGGCAACAGTGCGCCACCTTGAGACATTGCCTGCTGGAGCCATCCCAGTTCGAACATTGGTTCTCATCCAATCCTGCTGATTCCAGAGGAATAGTGGAAAAAAGAGGGATCATAATGGATTCCAGGTGTCACTAGCAAGGGATAGACACACTGCCTCAAGCTAGGACAGAGAGCAGCAGACCCAGGGCTCAGCCCTTCTTGATCTAGAAGTATTTATGAACTCATTCAATAAGAGAGCCTTTAACAGAGAAAATCTGCAAAATAGCCAGGAATTGGTAAGTCATATTAATACAGCCCAGGAGAACCATCCCTGGTGAACATGGCAGAGCCAGCATCACGGTGAGACCTTGCTGGAGCCTTGGCATCATCTTTCCACTGCCTCTCGCTGCTCTGGGTTCCCAGAGTTCCTGGCTGAGGCCTCAAGGGCAGGCCAAGCCCAGGGTGCACTGGTAACTGAAGCCACATGATGCCCGGCGTAGTTCTGTGTGTCCCTAGCCTTGTCCTAAGGCAAAGGAAAGGACCTGGATCTCACTGTGGAGCTCACAGATCTCCAGAGAGACTGGATCTCTGCTCACTTCTCTGTCTCCTCCCTCCCTCCAGGTGTGTGTCTCTGACCAGGGGAACTCACCAATGCCTCCACTTGCAGCACATGCAGCAGGACCACTGGCAGCATGCACACTTTCCAGCTCTTCTCATGTGGGCTTCTCTGAGGCATTTTTAGTTCTGTACTTCTGTGCTGTACATTGCCTCTGGCCCCTCCCTCTCGTCCTGCAAGAGCTCTTCTGCCTCAGCTCCCTGCAGAACCTCAGCTTCCTGTATCCCGCCTCAAAGCCCTGTCCCTATCCTTCCCATCATGCCCTGAGGCCTCCATCCCCTTAGACCCCACCCCCTTCCCTGATGGCTGTTGAAGCCATGTCCCAGGCTGGATCTGAACATCTTCTCCTGGATGCACATTTCCAGTTGCACACTGTAAATAGCTGAACTTTATACAGGTGAGTTATGGCTTAACATGGATGCTAACAAGGAAGAGTTGACATCCAGCCCTCTCCTCACGGTGGGTCAGCCTCTCCAGCCTCTGACGTGGCTCCACATCCAACTCGGCTCCCCTCTCCGCACGCTCCACAGCACAGCTGACAATTACAACTGCTTGGCGCAGCTCCTTAACTTCAGTTTCCCTATGGCCTCTGTCATTGGTACCTAACATTTCCCACCCATGACACCTACGTCTGGTTTCCTGGTGAGCATCTGCTCGTTCCCCAGCACCCCTGCCAACCTCGGGGCCACTGATCCATGATGGGCATCTCTCCCACATCTCAGTGCCCAGCCCCGTTCAGAGAGGAGAAATCAATCAACAGTAATAGCGATGACACAAAGACAAACCAGATATCATATACAGAAATAAACAAATGCAGCAATACCACCATTAGCAACAGGAAAGAAGCCAGCTGCAATAATACACACGAAAAGGCTTGTGCTGATGGAGTCGGTTTCCCTCTCCCAGGACCTGGGTTAGCGCTGTGCCTCTTTGTTTTTCACTCTATATTGCCTTCTGTTTTGCCTTCTCCAAAAATTTTTAGCTTCCTTGGTTCCCTGAACTTTCTTCTCTGTCTCCCATTGTAGTGGTTCTCCAGGTACCTGGATTCGGGTCACAAAGAGACCATCATCTGCTTATTGCAGCTTCTACCGCACAATCTTGATTTACTCCTTCAGATACGATAGAAAGTATGCTTTTCTAAACTCAGAAAGTGGCACTCTGAACACTTTTGTGATCTGATCTTTGAAATGCATTTGCATGTGTTATTGTACATTTTAGTCACAGCCACACTTGGACTGCTATTGTAGACAGGCTGAGTTTGCCACACATGAGTAATCAGATCCACTGTGCTGTTTCTGACACAAGATAAGACTATCCTAAGGTGTAGCTCAGTGGGGCCTCAGACTGCTCTCCTGACTCGAGGTGAGGGGCTCCAGAGCGCACAGATCTCTCCATCCCCTGGAAGGCTGCCACCCCCAGGTTGAGGTTGGAGCATCTTAGATGAAGGCTCCACCCACCTGCATGTGCAGAGCCAGTGTCCTCTGCTCTCAGTAACCAGGGTGCACAAAGCCAGAGACCCTCAACACCTCCCATTCCTGCATCCCACCGCCCTGGGCCCGCTCTTACATTGCTCATCACCATAGCACTGCTGTTACATCCTGTCGCCCTTGGGCCCTGGGTGTGGCATGGAGCTCACCCCCTTGCTCCTTCGTGGCCCCATGTCCTGCAGCTGCATTCCCCTGCTCCTATACCACGGCCTGCCAGCCCTGGCCTTGCTGTGGAATCTAACACACCCTTCCCAAGCTACTCGGTCTCCACTGTGCCGCTGGCCTCTCCACAGGACCCAGAAGCCCCCTGTCTGTACTGAAAGGTGGCGATGTCCCAAGCAGCCCAGCCTCCCAGACCCTGGACTGCTGCTGCCACCAGCCTCAGAGTCAGATGATGATGGCTTTCTCCCTGTCCACTGTGCCCATTTTCCGTCTTTCTCAGCATATGTTACCCACCAGCTGCGCGCCCTCCTCTCTCTACCTGCCCCTCCTCTTCATCTATTCCCCGACTGAAGACCCCAGCTGCGTCTCCCTTTCTCACCCTCCTCCCTCCCCCATCCTCACTCTGCAGTCAACCCAGATGTCACCCACCATCTTCCCTGGCTCAGTGAGTTACATAGTGACTTCAAGTCTCAAGCTCCCTAGTGCCACTGTCCTTCAAATACTGACACTTGCTGTCCAGGTGAGGATGTGCTCACCTGGGACACCCCCTTCAGACCCTTGAGCTCCAGCCCCCGAAGAGAAAGCAACAAATTGAACAATTTCAAGACAGAATGAGAAAGCACAGAAAGTGTTATGGTAGATCTGAAAAAGCACCAAAGAGACTAAAGAATTTAAAAATAAGAAAGCAGATAAGAAATATGAGCAGCTATGAAACAGATGATCCACTTTGCACTAAGAATAATGGCAGGGGCCAGGGATTTGGCTCAGCGGCACAAGCGCCTGCCTGGCAAGTACACAGTCAGGAGTTCGATCCCTGGTACCAGGGAGAGAAGACTGTGGCCCACTGTGCACCACTATTCCAAGCCCCCCTCTCGTGCCTTTCTGCAGAGTCTAGGGCCTGGCAAGAGCCTGGAGTGAACGCCGAGTACCCTGCTCACACTGGACAGCTCTGGCACTCGCCCAGCCTGGAGCGCCCATGGGGCTGGCAGAGGCCCCGCTGAGCTCAGCTCCCCCAAGTACCCAGTGTGCTGCCTGAGTTACACCAGAGACTCCTCTGTGACCAACTCCTCTCAGCCTCTGCTGCCTGGAGGAACTGATGGACACAGGGTAGGAACTCCCTGACGTCCCGCCTCTTCCCCTTCCACTGAGGACTTAGCTAAGGGCTAAGCCAGCCACCCATCATTCCTTCTTTTGAACACAAATTCTTCTTGTGACCTAGATGTGTACCAGGGCAGAGCGGGGGACTCCAGCAAGCAGGGCCTTGGTGCTGCCCTGTGACATGGCAGAGGGCAGGTGGTCATGGGCAAAAGAGATTGGTGCACATGGTTAGATAACCAGATCAGGGCTCAAGCTGTGTGATGAAGTCACTCCCGCCAGAATCGCATTGATCCATTCTTGTAGACTTAGCTCGTGACCTAATCGGTTCCTAACAATCCCCCTGTCCCTCAAAACAGGGACGCTGAACTTTACCAGGAGTTTTGAAGGCTATGCAGACCCTTGCACCACCTGCTTTCCCCCGCACTGGGGCAGGCAGCACCTGGGGCAGATGCAGGTGGGATTTCCCAGTGCCATGGGCATCATTGGCCAAGACTCTCCAGGGCTGGGATCCCAGCTCTGCTGGACACTCTCAGAGCTCAGGCACCTTCTGCGAGGACTAGGTTGAGCGATGCAGCAGCTGAGCCCATGGAGAGCCTCCCTGCGAGATGTGAGGATGCTTCATAGCCCACATCCCAGCCCCCGTAACTGCCGATAGCAGACTCGTCCCTGAAATGCTAGATTAGAATGCTGTGCTAACCAGTCTGTGCATTCCATTTGTCCTCATAATCCCAAGAGAGAAATTTCTGGGCTGTGGTAACTGGAGTCCATATATAAGATCAGTGAGAGCAGAGTACGAGGTGTCCCTGACATAGGTAAGCTGAGAGTGTGCCTTGTCTTCTCATTCTAGGGCAGGCATTCGGTATGAATTGTACCATGTCATTGTGACAAGCAGACTGGCAGCAATGGTTTTATCTAACATCATGCCCTCTGTGTGGATGCCTTCAGCCACCCACTCACAGTACCTGGACACATAGGGCCTGCACTTAATGACACCTCAGAGCCTGCTCTGCTCACAAAAGTGTCACACAGTGAGTTTCTCCCCAGGACTCCGGGCCAGAGGATGTGAAAAAGCCTGCCAGGCAGGTAAATCCTGAAATAGGACACTTGTTGGGAGCCGCAGCCCCGAGCCCGGTCGCCTCACTTGGCGGACGTGAGGCCTGTAGTAAAGAGTAAAGCCTGAGGTAGATTACCCCTCCCATCGAGCACGTTAGTTTCCTGCTTACCGCGTAAGCAACCCGCTCAACAATATAGTCTGCCTGGCAACTGATGATGTTAGCCAATCAGCTTGCCTTGCTTACTTTAACATGATTGGACACTGTATCCGTATATATACTGGTGCCACCCCTGGGGGGGAAGAAGAAGCCCGGAAGTAGAAGCCCAGAAGGAGCCGCGGGGAGCGGACCAGAGGAGGCTTCGGCTGGGAGCGATCCCAGGGCAGGCTGTACGGAGAAGAAAATAAAAAGAAAAGGTTGTCCACTGCCAGACTTTGTCGTGTGTCCTTCCTGCCGGCCGGGAGCGGACATCGACATTTGGAGGCCCGCCCGGGGACTGATCACCCCCGCGACGTGGAAGTGGACAACGCTCCAGTACAGAGCTGCGAGACAGGTGAGTTGGGGATAAGCCTGGGCTCTGGGTGGCGCGCACCTACAGGGCTTTTAGACTCCCCTCAGGCTCACGCGTAAGTGGCGGATTCCTTGGGCCTCACGCGGTGAGTAACATATTAAAAGATGGGAAACATGCTAGGTAGTAACATTAAGAGCGAGGGTGGTTGTGGAGAAAGCTCTCAAGAGCTTACAAAAGTACGCAGGGTATTTGAGCAGGCCCAGTCAGGGAGCTCCCGAGAGGGGCCCGTCAAGGGGAACAAAGATGCTAAGGAGAAGGACGGGGCTCTAGCCTCGGAGTCGTCTGACTCCGAGGACGAGGGAAAGTTGAATGGCAAGGAGGCCAAAGAGACCAGCTGTCAGGAGCCTAAGTCGCTCGATAAGGAGTCGCAGGGTTCTTTCCCAGTAATTCAGGGTACCACAGAGCCATTTGTTGACTTTGTGGCCCGAATGCAAGATGCTGCCGATAAGATATTTTCTGATCCGGGAGTGGCTCGACCGCTGGTAAGGCAGCTGATTTTTGAGCAATGTACAAAGGAGTGCAAGGCAGCGATAGCTCCTCATAAGAACAAGGACCTCAACGCCTGGATTAGGATATGCAGAGAGATAGGGGGGCCGCTCTCCAACTCGGGAGTGGCTGCTCTCCTGGCCGCGGCTATACAGCAGAGGGGACCTCGCGGGTTAGAAGGGGAATGTAAGGCTAAAGGGTGTTTTGCCTGCGGGGAGCCAGGACACATTAAACGTCACTGCCCAAACAATGCAGATGCTAGGCCTCGCCCTAGGAATGAAGAACCATATGTTTGTGGGCGATGCAAGAAGGGATCACACAAAGCTGAGGAGTGTAGGTCGGTCTTTGATGCTCAGGGCAACCGTATTTGTGGACAAGATGCTAGAGAGCCAAAAAACGGCCAGAGGGGGCCCCCTTCACAGGCGGGCCCCCGCCCCAGAGACAGGACAGCTCAGGGTGGCAGCCTTCAACAAGGGCCACCCCTGGGTCAGCAGGTGTGGACCTCAGTGTCGCCTCCAGACTTATACAGAAGGTCACCATTAGGACGGATGGCGTTAGGACCCTAAATGACATGCAAAAGCTATTGGGAGACATTAATTGGATTAGGCCATATTTACATATACCAAATTCAGATCTCAAACCCCTGTTCGACCTTCTGAAGGGAGACCCAGATATAGCCTCCCACAGGAGGCTCACTCCTGAGGCAAGAGCTGCCTTACAGAGAGTGGAGGAAGCCTTAGGTGGGGCTACCTTACACAGAATTGAACCAGGGCGACCCTTTGATGTCTGTTTGCTACAGACTAGTCTACAGCCCACAGCGGTGATTTGGCAGAAAGGACCATTACTGTGGATACACCCTAAGGTCTCACCTGCAAAAGTCATAGAGCATTACCCGGAGGCAGTCGCTTCATTGGCCCTTGAAGCGCATGATAGAGCTGTCCAACATTTTGGCTCAGGACCACAAGCCATCCGAGTACCCTATACCGCCAGCCAGATCAAGACCCTGGCTGCCTGCATAGATACATGGGCCATTCTGAGATGTGTTTTCCATGGGGATATAAACAATCAATACCCTAAAGACCCTATCTTGTCATTTGTCACTCAGCACCCTATAATTTTTCCAAAGGTTACTGCCTCTGAGCCATTAGTCCCAGCAACTACAATATACACAGATGGCTCTAAGACGGGGATAGGCGCCTATGTGATCCTAGGCAAGCCCCCGGTTACCATACAATTTGAACCTGATCAGCCTCAGGTGGTAGAACTGCAGATCGTTAAAATGATTCTTGAACGGTTCTCAGAAGCCATTAATATTGTCTCCGATTCTAGGTATGTGGTCAATGCTATGCAAGTGCTTGAGACTGCCGGTTTAATTAGATCCACTTCCACAGTGGCTGGGCTGTTCCTGTCTATCCAGACATTGCTTCAGAACAGACACCATAAGGTCTTCACCACCCACATAAGAGCACATACATCCCTGCCGGGGCCCATGGCACAGGGGAATGCGGCTGCTGACACTGCCACTCGCCCGTTATGGATTTTTACCTTACTAACACCAATCGAGCGAGCCCGTGCCTTCCATGATAAGTTTCATGTCAATGCCAGGACACTAGCAAACCATTTCCATGTTTCTAGAGCAGATGCACGAGATATCGTGCGACTATGTGACTCCTGTGCCACATACAAACCTGCCATACCGATGGGAGTAAACCCTCGAGGTTTGATCCCTGGTGATGTTTGGCAGATGGACATCACACATATACAGGAGTTTGGGACTCTTAAATATGTTCATGTTTCCACAGACACCTGTTCTCACGTCATATTTGCAACAGCAGAAACAGGTGAAAAAGTGTCTAATGTGATCAATCATTGCCTGGCGGCTTGGGCCGCATGGGGCAAACCAAAAATATTAAAAACTGATAATGGACCAGCCTATATAGGCAAAGCTTTCAATGAGTTCTGCAAAATGATGGAGGTTCAATTAAAACATGGTATCCCATACAATCCCCAAGGTCAAGGAATCATTGAGAGGGCTCATAGAAGCCTCAAAGAAATTTTACAAAAACAAAAAGGGGGAGTAGGCCAAGGCCTGGCCCCAAAGGCACGATTATCCATGGCACTATTCACACACAATTTTTTAAATTTAAATAATGATAATCGCTCCCCAGCTGTGGAGCACTGCAACCCTTCCCCCAACCATAAAGGGTGGGTGAAGTGGAAAGATGTCCTGACAGGACAATGGATGGGCCCGGATCCAGTGGTCAGCTGGAACCGAGGCGCGGTTTGTGTTTTCCCACAGGAATCGGGACGAGAACCACTGTGGATACCGGAGAGACTGACACGGGCAACAAAGCCCTCGACTGAAGATCAGACCTGCCCTACTGGAGATCCATCACAGACCAACCAACAAGATGAATAGAAATAGCGGTAGCCCAAAATGGACAAGAAGATCCTCAGGCATATGCATGGCTCGCTCGCCTAGCCTACGACCGAGTCTAGGGGTGGTGAGCTTCCCACACTCCTCCTCTAAAAAATTATGACATAGCTGGGTAGGAGAGTCAATGACGGGTAAGAGCGTACTCCCCCGGTGCGACTCAACCTAAGCCAGGCCCTACCCCATTCTGCACGTAAGCCGCTGGACTGTTAGATGCTGCCCAGGTCTAAATTTCTCTCCGAGGGGATTTCTTTACGGAGAGGAAATGAGTGCAAGCTTGTGTGCATCCAGGTTCCGTCCAGTTTGTGCCTGGCCCTAGAAAAAGGACGAGGGCCTCAGGGCCTTGGCAGACCATGGGACGGCCGACCAGGGTCTAAGCCAAGGACCTACGGTGGGCCTACGCATAGGGCATAAGCCTCTGCACCCAGTCCAGAAAGGGCTACGATGCGCACATTCATAAAAAATAAAAAAGGGGGAGATGTTGGGAGCCGCAGCCCCGAGCCCGGTCGCCTCACTTGGCGGACGTGAGGCCTGTAGTAAAGAGTAAAGCCTGAGGTAGATTACCCCTCCCATCGAGCACGTTAGTTTCCTGCTTACCGCGTAAGCAACCCGCTCAACAATATAGTCTGCCTGGCAACTGATGATGTTAGCCAATCAGCTTGCCTTGCTTACTTTAACATGATTGGACACTGTATCCGTATATATACTGGTGCCACCCCTGGGGGGGAAGAAGAAGCCCGGAAGTAGAAGCCCAGAAGGAGCCGCGGGGAGCGGACCAGAGGAGGCTTCGGCTGGGAGCGATCCCAGGGCAGGCTGTACGGAGAAGAAAAATAAAAGAAAAGGTTGTCCACTGCCAGACTTTGTCGTGTGTCCTTCCTGCCGGCCGGGAGCGGACATCGACAGACACTGTCATTGTGGGACTGAAAGATGAGGAGGATGGTACCTTCTGGGAAGGGTCACGTGGGAAAGGTCACTTTTCTTCCTGGGCATTCTGTGCAAGTTGCTGCAGAACTCAGGGATGAGCAGGAGCCAATACCTAACACCATACAGCAATTCCTACAGTGGGAAATCACCATGCTGTAATGGTCTAGCCACAGCTCCGCCATAGGACGGCTCTCGACTAGACCACAAGCGCCCCACACTGCCAACTAGGGAAGAAATTTCCTGGCACTCAGAGCCTTGGGCATGCATGGCCTTGTTCCATACAAAGGACCCTTGTCACTTCCTTCCTTTTTTCTTATTTTCTTCTTGCCTTCCTCCCATCTTTTCTGACCACCTTCTATGAGTGGCCCTCTGTAATTAGGTGATGAAACCGTTCATTGATCAGCACCCAGGATACCTGGTTTTCTGTTCCTGTGACAAAAATGCCTGAGCAAAAATTAACTTGCCAGGGCTGGAGATTTAGCTCAGCGGCATAAGCACCTGTCTTGCAAGCAGGCAGTCGTGAGTTCGATCCTCAGTACCAATAAAAAGGAAAAAGACAAAAAAAAAAATTAACTTGCCAAGGAAGGTTTGCTTGGCTCATGGTTTCAGGGGCTTCAGTCCATGGTTAGTTGACCCAGGCCTTTGGGCTGTGCTAAGAACATAGTGGTGGAGAGCATATGGTGAAGCAAAGGTCCTCAGCCCATGGCAGCTGAGAAAAGCAGGGAAAAGGGCTGGGTCCCAACTTCCCTTCAGCTCCTGCAGCCTCAGAGCCACGTCGGTCTAGGAGCCAGGACAGGCCATCCAGCAAAAGAGAATGCCAACCATGACAACTCTCTTGAATTGTGTATGGTTCCTTTTTTTCCAAAAACATGGCATTGATTTTAATCATATATTTTAACCATTTATGTCAGGTAAGCATAGGCCCAGCCTGCTCCAGAGATCTGGGCCCCTCTGACCATAGCTACTTGCCCTCTTTTTGGGGGGACCCTTCTCTTACCTTTGGCTCCTTTCCTCACATCTGACCTTCTCTCTTCTCCCCTTACACCCTGCTGATAAAATGCCCCAGTTCATACCAGCCTGTCTCCTGTCCTTCCTCTCTGGACCACCCAGTGTCCTCCATGGACCCATGCCCTTGACCAGCTTCCTCTGGGGGCTGTGATGCGTTCCAGGCAGCACAGTGAGAACACACCGACTGATCCCGGTCCCGCTTGCAGCAAGCGTGCCCCAGTTCGTCATGCTCTTTAATTTCTGATCATGGTACAACATTTTTTGCTGTTTCCAGCTTTTACACAATTCAAATCGATCCCCTAGGATATCTTCCCCAACCCCACCAAAACCTCAAATTCCCTCCCCGCCGTGGCACCAGGCCCGATGTTTGTCCTTAAACCACCTCCCATCCTCCTCGGCAGTTTCTCCGCCAGCTCCCCAGCTTTTTGGGAGCCAGATTTTTGATCCTGAGGACCTTTTCTTCTCTGAGGGGTCTCTTCCCCCAAAGGACACATCAGGCAGCTTTCTAAACAAGCACAGCACCTTTCCCTGGGGGGCCTCCTGTGGTTGCTTCTCCTCAAGCATTGCAGTCACCCAGCCGAGTTCCTAGAATCTGCTGAGTCCTCATGGCTGCCCGTCTAGATGGCTGCCCTGTTCTGCTTCGCATCCCTGTCTTCCTCCACTTAATGGAGTGTGCACACAACCGGCCCTTGAAACACCATTGCACATGACTCTACCAAACCATTCCAAACTCCTCTGTTCTGTAATTCACTTGTCACTTTAGTGCTTGTCCCGCCATCTCCTAATGTCCCCAGCAGAGAGTGCTGGCACGTGACTCACTTTGTGCTTGCTAAGCATCATTCAAAAGGGAGCACCAGCCAGGCCAGGGGAAGGAGACCTGGGCCAGGGACTCCATAGAGGGACAGCGGGGTGCTCAGCTGGTCAGTTCTCAGTAACTCAGCAGCCAAGACAGCGGCAGAGGAAGGGAATCTCAGTACCTCAAGGGCACCGGGCTCTGCAGGGTCAGGGCTGCAATCCCAGCAGGCCATGCAGCCCCTGAGAACAGCCGCTATGGAGAAGTGGCCAGGACACTTCCTCACAGCGCTGGGAACAGCTACTATCAGAAAAGAAAGCAAAAATAACAAGTGTAAAGAAATTTTAACAAAAACAGTAGCAAGTGTTAAGGAGGAGATACTTGCACGTTGCCCACAGAAAGGTGAAAGGGTACAGACACTGTGGAAAGGAAACAGTTTCCAGGTAATCCAGTAATCCCTCCTGTACACACACAGAGGAACTGAGAGAAATCTGTGCTTTCCTGCATTCAGAGCAGCATTATTTACAGTAATCAAAAGGTGGGAGCAGCCCAGATGACCACAAGCAAAAGCAGCATAAACACTGCATCATGGTACATGGTGGGGTTAAAAGCCCTGCTCAGCCCTGCTCATTCAGCCTTTGGTCCAAAATGTAAGACAAGGAACCTACGCTGTTTGATGCAACTATGTCTGGACCTTGTTACAGCAGTCACAAGGGACTGGCACACACTTGAGGTACAGGTGGGAGGGCAGAGACATTTTCAGATATGACCCAGACGCTGTGTTCCCTCAGGATCCTGCCCAGTGAAATCCCACCCTCACTGTACCTTCCTGAAAACAAAATAAAGAGTAATGGGAAAAGAGGGCTGCAATCAGGTCTCAGGCACCGCATGCCTGTGGGAGTTCAGATCTTGAGGGATCAAGGAAGTTTTTCCATTCTCCTGGGCTAACAGCTGCCAAAATATCCTGCGGTCTCATAGACTTGATTCTGTGGACATGGCAGAGTGGTAGCCACGCCACAAAGAAGGATCCCAAGCACTCAGGCCAAGCCAGTCTGATACCCCATTCGAGGAAGGTGAAAGCTCCCCAGGGAGCAGAAGGCATCTGCAATTCCCCCGAGCACTGGGCACATCACAGCTTGACATGGTGGATTAGGTGTGAGCAGGCGTTCCGTCGACATTCCTGCCCCGCCATCCTCTTCCTCTGCTCTAAGTTCTCCCGAGAGGCAGAGGAGACCAGGCTACAGCTGGGAGCGTTTTCTCCATCAGTTCCAAACCATTTATTTAGACAACATCATTTTCCACTGATTGAAACTTAATCAGATTTTGTGGCGTATCTCTACCGTAGTTACACTTTTATAGTAGGCTACACTAGGAGAGCTGCGTGCTGAGAGCACGGAAAAACAAAGGATGTGGAAAGTCTGACGCTAACTTAATTATGCCTTAGGGGGGCCGCACTGTGAGCATGCTTGGGGCTTCCCTGAGACACGTTGCGGATGGCAGTTCGCAGTAGCGGATGGCCCTGGCAGCTCGAAGCTCTGCCTCCAGCAAGAGGCCTCCACGCGCAATTGTACGTTGGAGAAGCCATGCGTGTGTGGGTCCTCTTCTGGACAGGGTCTGCCCAGGCCCTGAGACCTGTGGTCAGAGTCCTCCCTGCCTCCCCCTGACTCTGCAGCTTGTCTGGCAGTTGTTGGTGCTTCTCGATCTAAGTGCACAACTAGAATCCCCGCCATTGTGGCCAATGGTGTCCTTTCTGAGCCTCTGCCTCCACGTGACCATCTCAGAGGGGCCAGATCCTACAGATCGAGTGCCACCCCACTCCCCTGGGCCCTCATCTTACCTTATCCTGCAAGGACCAGATTCCATTCGAGTTCTGAGTTAGGACTTCACCCTACACTTGGGAAGGGAAGTTATAAGACTCAATCCATAACACATCGGTGTCAATGTCCTGGCTGTGGCGCTGTGCTGCGGTTATAGGAAATGTCACCGTTAGGAGAAGCTGGGTGAAGAAAGGGACAGGACATTCCTTGTACCATTTTTGCAATTTCCTGTGAGGCTAAAATTACATAAAAATAGGGTTTTTTAAAAAAATGATTTTACTTGATAAACAGAGATCGAGTGGGGCTCTCAGTCCATTTTTTCCCATTCACTGACACATTTTTGGACTAAACGTTTCCAATTGTTTTTGACAGAGAATAAATTTCCCTATATTTTTCCTGTGGTTTGCCCTAAGTGTTTGCTGAGTGGATTGCATATTTTAAACAGG